AAGTGGTGGAAGATTATAGTTTATTAAAATAAAAATGCTACAGACTCCAAAAAAAAAAATTAATAAATACCTCACATGAGTGTGTAGTGTGAGACCCACACATGTGAGATATTTGATAAAAAATTTTGGATCTCTAACAATACTCTTATTAAAATGACTTAATAACCTTTATATAATATACAAATGATCAAATAAATAATGAGACAAAATACATCACAAGAGGTGAGACTCACGTGATGTGATGTGAGACCCACATGTGGGACCTATTTTTTCTGAGACATTTATGTCACATTTTGGGTTTAGTATATTCCTAACAATATTGCTCAATTTTTAAATATTTGTAATTATTTCAACTATAGTTAAAAATTGATTGTGTATGTATTTTTATTATTATTAAAAAAAAACTAGCCTAGTAATTAAAATGGAACTTTTTTGATAAATCTTCTTTCTAAGAGTTTTATTCTATTTATTTCATATTGTTTTTGACTATTCCATTAAGTCCTATTTGATATAAGAAGACCAAAACACCCTCAATCTCTCATACTCCTATTAATATTGATATTTAATGTTGATTGTCATTATGTTTTGGTAGTTCTCATGTATCAAAATGTTAACTATCATTATATTCATTTTAATTTGAAATCAATTTTTATTATTGTGTTGTCAATTACATGATGTGAATAAAGAGAAAAATCAAACAGACTAAGTGATCAAAATCAAAAACCTCTCTCTCTCTCTCTAAAAACCTCCTCCCCAGGCCTCCTTTTGGGCCGGCCGGCCGCTGCCTTTGGCTAGGCGGTCGGCTGGCCTAGCTCTTTCCGGCGGTCGTTTGTTAGTTTTTCTCCTCCAATAAACTTGATTCCCCCATTTTACCCACCTCGGTTTGTTTTGAGTTGTTGCGGTTGGTTTTTTTTTTTCTATTTTTTGGTCATTCAGGATCTTCATTCGTGCGCTCTTTGGTGAAGTAGGAGCTTGAGGGGTGAACTCTGGTTCAGATTGGTGGTCAAGTTTTGATGCTTTGTTTGGGCGGAAACAAGGGTGTCGTAGTAGGTCCAGATCTGTCCCATTTTCATTCGTGCGCTCCTCTTCGTGTGAGAGTTTGAGGGGTGATCTTATTCCAAATGTTTGGAGGAGTCCCAGCGGTTGGTCGGTGTGTGGATTTGCAGTGGGTGTGCGTTAGCGGTGTTGGCTTTTGGAGTTACAGTGGGTGTTTGTTATGTCTACGGCATAGGCGTGGGTGTGAAGAAGCATTCCGGTGTTGCAGCAGGGAAGTTGCAGAAGGGAAGTTGTAGCAGGGTTGTTGGAGCTGAAATGTCAAGTTCAGCAAGGAAGATGTAGCAGCATAGGCGTTGGAGTTTTCTTGGGTGGTTGGTTTAAAGATTTTGTTGATATTTTTTTTGAATCATATTAATTTTATAAAAATTGAATTTATATATTAAAAATTATATGTATTTTGTTAAAATAAAATTGAATAAAATTTGTTTTGTTTTTAATTAAAAAGTGAGGTGAGTGATGTGATGTAATATGTGATGCGTAGAAAGAGAGAGGAAAGAAGAAAAGTGCATGTGTGTGACGTGTGTTTGAGGGGGAGGGGGTGAGTGTGTCATTGTGTGTAAGGGTAAATTAGTCTTTTTGACATAGACATTAACGGCGTGACGATTGTAAATTAGTCCAAAATTATAATAGAAATATCTGTATATTTCTAAACGTCAAGGGGTCATCTACAAAGCCCAAAACCACAAAGGGGTTTAATGTTTTTTTTTTTTTTTTTAGCAATTTGGGTGTTTTGGTGGGTTGATTTTGTGGGGAATCATGTATTTTATTTTTTGTTAAGTTCTTCTTAACGTTTTTTGTTTAAAAAAAAAAAATCGTGAGGCCAAGGGGTTGGTTGTATGGTTGCGAGTAGCAGTAGTAGGGGTGCTTTGTACTGTCCGAATCTCTCTCAGTGCATTTCATCTTCCTATACCTTTAATTTCATGTTGATTAATAAAAATTTTCTTTGCTGATCAAAAAAAATAAATAAAATTACATGATGTGAATATTCACATCATGTAATTGAAATGAATATTCACATCATTATATTCATATTAATTTGAAGTGAATTTTTGTCATTATGTTGTTAATTGCATGATGTGAATATTCATACTAAAACATACGAATGTGAACGTTCACATCACTATGTTAGATGAAAGCGAATGTTTACATGTTGTGAATGTTCATATCACTACATATTGTGGTTAAGAATGTGTTGTTAATTAAAAATATAATGAACGTTATTTTAATGTGTTGTCAATTAAAAATAAGAAGGTTCACATGTTGTGAACGTTCACATCACTACATTAGATGAGAAAGAATTTTTCGGAAAGGTGTTATGAACATTCACATCAGATGAGAGAGAATGTTCACATTATTTTTAATGTGTTGTCAATTAAAAATATATTCACATTATATAATAATATAAAATAATAATATCAATATTATTTAATTTGTGTACGAAATTTCCTCTCTCTTCGTCTTTTTCCTTCTCTCTCCTCCCCAAACATTAAATATCAACACTAAATATCATTATTAAATATAGGGGCATAAGAATCTAAGAAAATAATGTAAATCAAGAACAAGGACTTTGTGGAATAAAAGTATAAATACATGAGACTAAGTGGGTTAACAAATTCCTTCATGGACTTCTTGGGTTAGAATACCTCTCAATGAGATTTATCAATAAAAAGCCCAATTAAGAATTCCAAATAATATCTAAGTCAAACTAAGCTCAAATATTAGTCATATAAGGCCATCCATATTTAATCAATGTTAACAAAATTTAAATTTAAATCTAAATCTACAGTTGCACATCGAAATTGACTGTAAATTGGCAGGTTTTTTTTTATTATTTAATTTTATTAAGTTTTATATTTTTCAATACAAAACATAATCAGTTTTATTTTGTTATTTTCTCATATACAATAAAGTGCTTCTGGTTGAAAATGTCGAGTATCATCTTTCATAAGAAAGGTTAGTGAAGACTTTGGATTGGAACGTCTAATGTCCACCTTAATTAAGAGTAGATTTTTATTTATTTATTTATTTTAGAGAGGGAGGGAGAGAAATTATGAGTAGTTCAAAGCAGGATAATGATTCAACCACTTTGATATTACGAAATCAAGGAATAGTAAATGCGCATAAATAGGGGATTAATTAGCACCACTCAATATCAATGCATAAAAAAAAAAAAACAATAAAATAAAAAATAAAAAATAAAAAATAAAAAAATTTTGAGGCCCACAGCGATACAATTTGAGGAGCTTGTGAGGTTTATTGAGAGTCTTATTTTGATGATTCAAATAATTTATTTTGTATTTGTGTATATTATCTATAAAAAAAAATTAGATTGATCTAATAATTATAAAATTATCATTTTATGGTATTTAGTTTCGAAAAAATGAATGACAAATATGTTTTTTGAATATAGATTATTTATTTTTTGAAGATAAACACAAAAAAGTAAAAATGTTATAATTATCGGATCGACTTAATTTTATTTTTTGAATTATATAAATGAAAGGTCATATAAAATAAACGGTTCAAATTATCAAAATAAAATCCGTGGTATGCCCAATGCCCCTCAAGTTTTTTTTTTTTTTAAAGCAAAAATAAAAATTTGAGAACAAATTTTAGAGTAAGCAAGGATAATAGTAATGCTCTTTTTTCTATCAATTGTAGACATAAACAGAGGTACACTACAGGAAATTTGCTTTTTGGTGGCATTTTTAAAACACCGCCAAAAGCCTGAAAAATGCCGTAATATTTTGTAGCGACATTTAATATTTTCGTCTCGGATACGGCCGCCGCAATAGCTTTCCAACATGTTTGAAAAACGTCGCTAAAAATATTAGATGGCGCTTTTTAAAATGCTGCAAAATTTTTGACATCCGTCTCACCTTCCGTCCCTTCATTAGCTGCCATCTCAGAGGGGGTGGAGGGGGTCTTCAATTGAGGGGGTCTGTATCGGAATTGATAATTTATTTTGTATTTGTATATATTATCTATAAAAAAAATTAGATAGATCTAATAATTATAAAATTATCATTTTATGGTATTTAGTTTCGAAAAAATGAATGACAAATATGTTTTTTGAATATAGATTATTTATTTTTTGAAGACAAACACAAAAAAGTAAAAATGTTACAATTATCGGATCGATTTAATTTTATTTTTTGAATTATATAAATGAAAGGTCATATAAAATAAATTGTTCAAATTATCAAAATAAAATCCGTGGTAAGCCCAATGGCCCTCAGTTTTTTTTTTTAAAGCAAAAATAAAAATTTGAGAACAAATTTTAGAGTAAGCAAGGATAATAGTAATGCTCTTTTTTCTATCAATTGTAGACATAAACAGAGGTACACTACAGGAAATTTGCTTTTTGGTGGCATTTTTAAAACGCCGCCAAAAGCCTGAAAATAATCTTAATATTTTATAGCGACATTTAATATTTTCGTCTCGGATACAGCCGCCGCAATAGCTTTCCAACATGTTTGAAAAACGTCGCTAAAAATATTAGACGGCGTTTTTTAAAATGCTGCAAAATCTTTGACATCCGTCTCACCTTCCGTCCCAAATTAACGTGTGATGTCACAATGACGTCATTTAGTGGCATTTTTTGGAAAGAAAAGCCACTTTTTTTATTTTATTTTTATATTATTTGTCCTCCTGCTGCTGCAAGAAATTAATGTGTACAATGACGTCATTTTGGGGCGTTTTCTCTCTGTTTTTTTTTTTTGGGGCTCTGATATTTCTCTTTGAAACTGGATTCACAATTTGGGATATCATGTTTTATGTTTGCTCTATGCAACCAAACTGCTAGATTTATAAGCAACTAGGACCCCAAAATTTCCATTTCTTTACCTTTTTCTGGTCAACTGCAGTGACCAACCAGTTCAAAAAGTTGGGCTAAAATCCAACCAGTGAAATTTGTGCTTAAGCAACGTATAAAGCTAGTGATCATGTGCCTCTTGGCACTTCTTCAATTAAAGTATCAATACAAACATCTTGTAGGCAAACATAAAAAAAACCAAGTCAAATCCACTGCAACAGTGATATCATTAGTCAAGTCCATGATTGTACAATGCATACCCATTCCTAGTTTATAGTTTCAGAAGAAATCCTTAAGTTGAGCATTATATATGGATTCAAGTTCAGATTTGCGGCCATTAAATTCTTCAATCTTTTTCCACTTCTTTCTCAAAGAATCTTCAACTTCCTTCATCTCTGCACATAATTTATTCAAGCGTTGTACTTCAGACATCAATGTATTCAAGCTAGCCCTCAATCCAGTAACTTCTCTTCCCTTGGCCCAAACCTCCAACTACACAAAGATAAAAAGGAATTGCTAAGAGACAAGCTCTCGTCAACTTCCAATTCAAAATGTAGATTAAGCTTGAAAGGATGAAATTGGAGATGGAAATAACTGATGCAGTAGATTTTTCCAAGCCAGTCAATAGGTTCATAATTAAAAAATAAAACAAATTTCTCTGGTAACTAAAGTTATTGCCATTTTAGAATGCCTAGGCCTTAGGTAGCAATGGCAGGACAGGAAACCTCGACATAGGATGCCCTTGTTGCACCCAGGGACTCTTTAATGTTCAGAGACAGAATTGGATGAATGTCAGGCCCCAAACCCGCCCCTAAAAGTTTGGGCATGACCACTTCAGAAATGGACATTTAACTTGATATATATATATATATATATACATGAGATATGGGGCTTGAACGGAAGCATTAATATTTTAAAATAACAGAAAACCATCTCCATTGAGCTATAGCTACCATGCCAGGATCACTAACAGAACATAAGGCAAATAAACATACAGTGACGTGCATCTGAGAATTTAGCTATATGCTTATACACATACATATACAGACCCAGCCCTCAAGATTGGGCGTATAACAAAAGCATTGAAAGGTAAATGGATTATACACACTTCCTCTTTAGACAGACAATCAGGGTGCAAAATCAAAAGTTTAGCAAAACTCCGTAAAATGAATTGCCTTAATCTAAGTGCCTGGACACCCTGAGGTTGACATAAGAGGAACGGATGCCTTGGGTTGAGACTGACCTCTAGGTGGAGTGCCTACAGAAATAGACATAACATAAAGTGAGCCAAACTCAGTGAATAGTAGTACGTAACAATTTAATAATTAACTTGAATTACAATGTACATGTATAAGGGCGAAGGACGTATAGTTAGCTTTATCCTGTAATTATTTTCAGAATGGCCTTAGGCCTATGGTTTGCAGCCCTTAAACAGACGGCATTAAGCCCTTAAACAGACGACATTAAGCCCTTTTCATGCATGTATGAACTCCAAAGGTGGCTCGCACGGATTCTAGAGGTGACTCGCATGGCAGCACTTAGTTCCGTGCAGCACTTTGTTTCATACTAACAGATCATACAGAATGGCCATAGGCCCAGATGTCACAAATTAGCCATAGGCCTCACAGATGTTACAGAACGGCTATAAGCCTCATAATTTTCACAGAACGGCCATAGTCCTCATAACTTTCACATTGGCTTTAAGCCCAGTTCACATATGTATGGACACAAGAGGTGGCTCGTACGGATTCTAGAGGTAGCTCGCATTGCAGCACTTAGTTCCATACAGCACTTTATTCCATACCAGAAATTATTAGGTCTTAAAAACCGAACCATCCATATCATGTCAGAGCATAGCATAACTGGCATAGATAAATAGAAAATTCATATACTTGAACCACGGTATTATTACCCCCGGGCAAGGGCCATAAGACCACGATATTCTTACCCCGAGGTAAGGGCCTTGTGCTAAGGATGCCATGAATACTTATATATATATATATATATATGGACAATCATTCCTTAATTCAAAACGTAACTTATCAGAAAATAGAACATTTCTTGCCATATCATGTCATTATAGTACGCTTAACAAAGACAAAACAATTTACATTCTAACGTGGGTTACATAATGATGTTAAACCTTTGCATTCATGTCGTAGATTCTAAATGACCTCGGGTCCATACGTAACACAACAAAATAATCTTGGATTCATACAAATACCATTGTTCAAGGATGAACATAAGTTCCATTTATTCTTTAAGAAGTAACATAGTATGCTGATAAATAATAGAGGGTTAATATTTGTTATTGACAGAACAAAAGGATTCCAAAGTCATACCGATGTGCGCAAATCTTTCAATGTTCATATAAGTTCACACTGATTTCCAATCGTCATAAGTGTTTGTGTACCACTTACAAAGAACAGAGTGTTAGTGACAATAATTATCAACAGTAAATAAAATATACATTTCTGTACTGCTACTCACAGTGATCGGCTCCCGGTAGCAATGGGACGGTGTCCTCGTTTTGACCTACAACACAATGCACAACACATAATATGAGATTATACTCGATTCTTTACTTATTCTCTTTGATCATTCGATCAATTAGCCATGGTGGTACCAAGCTCATTATTCCTTAATAAGTTATAATCCATGTCTCAGAAAACAGGAGAAGTTGATGGGAAATGGTTTAGGTGAAGGAATGGTACAAAACTGGTTGACAAAAAGTGAACAGTTATCACCAATTTGGGCATAACTATTTTTTTATTTAAAATTTGGGAGTAAGACCACCGCCATTGAAAACTAGACTTCCGGGGCTTGATTTTAGGCTAAAGAATCACTCAAAAAGGAGTCCCGAGGAAAAAGATATGCTTATTGAAAGTTGGCTGGACAAAGCTGTCTCCCGCACGTGCGGGAAACAGAGCCGCACGTGCGGCTCTGGACAGTTTGCTGTCCGAAAATGGCTCTTTTTTCTCCAACACTTGGTTTTTCCATTTTAAAACTTGATTCTTAACATAAATCACTCAAAAACATGTAAAATTATCTAATAACATGATAAACTAACATCAATCAAGTGCAATTCCATTTTAAACAAATCAATCTTTGCCTCAAAAATAGAAATTCAAGTCTCATCTTCTATATAATCAAGCTTCTAGAATATATACCCCAAAATCATACAAATACATCTTACACATGGTTGATCTTCACACCACAACTTGGTATTCCATGAATCATTCTTAAGATTGAACCCAATTTAAGCAAATTTAAAGAAATCAAGGTTCAATTCCTTGAGTTTAACTCATTTCATTCATAACCCAACACACTTGTTCATTTGCATATTAATTTTCCCCAAATCCATCATTGATTTCATGTAGTAGATGCATTATTTACAAAGATAATAGTTGAAGCCACATACCTTAACTTAATTCCTTGTTTTTCCCCTTTAATCTCTTCAATTTTCCAAGCTTCCATGGATGATCCTCTTTCCTTCTCTACTCTCTTTCACAGTTCTCTCTCTCCCTAGATATTTTATTTGACTTCAAAATGATAAAACCCCCAACTCACATGGCCTATCCATATATGTATATATCTCATACTTAAGCTTAACACAAGGGAGAGTCAAACGTGGCCTTACGAATCGCGCAAAATTAAATTTCAATTAAACTTTCCAGATAACTCTAAAAATTATGATGATCATAAATATGCCCCCTGTTCTGGTTTCTGAAGCCTCTAAGGCCTTCAATTTGCAGTACCAAGTTAACCACTCAAACGTACATTAACGAATCAGACAAATTAGATTTCCAATTAAGTTTCCCAAATAGTTCTAAAAATTTCAATTAACACATCCAAGTCTTCAATTGTGATTTCTGAACCCGTAAAGGTCGGTAATTTCAATTTTAAAGTCGTGGCTCAATAGTTAATTCCTCAATTTAAACACATATCATTAAATTAAAATGCATTAACCCATAAGGCCGTAAAGGTAATATTTAATACAGATTTTGGGGTCGTTACACTAAAAGTGAGTAAAGACAAAATTTAATCAGTTTAATCATCCCTAATCCAATTTCTACAACAATCTTATTATTACTTAAAATTATGCTGATCTCAGATGTAAAATCAATTTCAGGTAATTAAGCCTCTAAGGCTTCTAATTTCTGATTCAATCATTATAATTGTGACAGATGCTTTCCTTACCAAACAGATAGAGGTTTCAATTTATAAGAGCCATGTGCTTAAACTATTTCACATTAAACATTTAAATGCACAGAACAAGGGACTAAATTATGCTAGAAACACATACAAGGGTCGGGTTATTACAATGAAGATTGATCTATTTCCAACTATTATTGAGAGACATCATAGACAAAATTCAGCACCGATTCAATTATTTGACAGAGACCAAGACCATATTATTCATTAAATCAAAAGCAACCATATTAAAATTTTCATTTTTATTTCTTCTTTCACTACTAGAAAATCTGGCAAATAACACGGAGGCTTTTGCGACGGGGTAACTCCCGTCGCAAATAATGATTTTTTGCGACGCAGTATAGCTGCCGTCGCCAAAAAGTATTTTTTGCGACGGCGTTTATCTACCGTTGAGAAAAATGGCCTTTTGCGACGGAAATTACCTCCGTCGCTAATGATTGTAAAAGAAAAATGCAGGAGAATTTGTGACGCACGGTATACCGTCGCAACAAGTATTATTTAGCGATAGTAATAGGTTACTGTCGCAAATGGTGAACCATCTGTGACGGCAAAAGCCCATCGCAAAAAATATTTGTAAAACGACGTCGTTTTAATTTGGTAATGATGTATCACTTGCGACGGTAGTATATAGGCCGTCGCAAAAAAATAAATATTTCCCATCCCGCTCATTTCTCCCATTCGCGGTCATGCTAAAATCCCCAAAATCCTCAACTCAAAATCCCTAAAATCAACAAACCAAAATCCCCAAAATCCCAATCCATTGATCCCAGAATCTAAATCCATTAGAACCTAAATCCCCAATCCATTAGAACCTAAATCCCAGAATCCCCAAAATCCTCAAATCAAAATCATTCAGTGCCGGAGTGAAGGACGAGGGTGAACGACGACATTCGTAGAGTGACGAGGGTGAATGACGGCATTCGTAGAGTGACGAGGGTGAACGACGGCCTTCGCCGGAGTGATGAGGCAGCGACTGTGAACGACGAGTGACGAACGACTGTGAACGACGAGTAACGAGGCAAGAACGAGGGTGAACGACTGCGAATGACGAGTGATGAGGTAAGACTGTGAACGACTGTGAACATTTTAAGGGTGAGTTCCACCACCTTCAATCCTTTCCATTCTTCAATTTGATTCCCACTTTGTGCCTGGTTTGGAGGTAATTTTAATTCTCTCGCACTTTTTTGCTTGCCACTGTATTGGTTTTAGAGAGAAAAAATTAAAAAAACATGAAGAAAAAATGAAAGGAAATATAACAATAACAGAATGATGAAGAAGACGGGGTTATTAGAGTCATTTTCTATAGATATTGGAAGGTAATTAAGTAATTTGATCTTTAATGGTGACACTGTTAAAAGTCATACTTTGACAATGGGATATGCATAATTTCTCAAATGAGAGAGGGAAATTTATAACTTAGACAAACCTCAGAAAGAGTTTTTTAGTTTACACATAAAATTATATAGAAAATTATCTACTCTGTTTAGAGAGTCCATCTCTCTAGTCTCCAACTAAAATGAAAAGTCATTTGCATGTACCGATAAAATTAAATTGTGTAAGAAAATAAATTAATTATGGCTCTAATTTTAATTAAATAAACATTTATGGATCTCAAGATTAATTAAATAAGTTATCTAGGTATTTACTACAATAATTAAAACTTTAAATTTACGTGGTCATTACACTGCACTCCCTTTGTTTGCTGCTATTAAATTTTTTTTTTTTTTTTTTTTTTTTTGGTCATTTCCCTTTTGCTGAAGTGAATAGTTTGTTGACATAAAACTACTCATGACTTGCTGACTGAGTTATACTAACTAATGAATTAAACATGTTTGATAAACAACCATAATGAAAAGAAAAGAAAAGAAAAGAAAAGAAAAAAAATAAAAAATAGCTCTATTGTACATTTAATTTATTAATGCAAGCAAATCTTTAATGACAGAGAGCTTACATCCTGCTGGAACAGAAGCACATCCTTTACACGCACCTTTGTCCAGTTGCTCCTCATTTTCATCCTCTAACCTTGATACAGAGGTAGGTAATTCTTCTTCTTCCTTACCCCATCTGTTTCTTTACATCTTTTTCATTTTCTCCTTCACACACATCATGTGTGGATCTATGGCTTCTTTAAGAAAGAATGACATTCACTTTCTATTTTTTCTGCAAAGTTCAGACTAAGCTAAGTCTCCTGCTTAAATGACTATTCCAGAACCAATTTTAATTCATTGTTTGAGAGATGCTACAGAGTTAGGCATGTGCGGATTAAAGGGTTTTGATGTCTAAAAAATTTACTGTGAGCTGTCTAACATTGGTTAGTTTCAAATTGATGAACATATTGTAAACCAACTATGAACTATCTGAGGATAGCATTTGGCCCAATAGCGCAGGCCCTTGGTTGTTTCCTCACTAATCAGAATTCGAAGCCCACCAATCCCCTCTTCCCTTAGGATAATTAATATGTGATATTATGTATTGTAATTATATTTTTACCCTTACATCTCATTATGACTTTTACATTTGTTGTAATTATATTTTTTTTAGGGCATATTTGTTTTGCATGTGAGATGTATATCTCCCAGTAAGTTTGCCTGAAGCAAATTAATAGTGGGAAACACATATGAGGGAAGTACAGATGATGGATAAGAGTTGGATTGATTTGCCAAATAGGATGTCGAGGAAATACATTAATGGGATTGATCAATTCCTTGTATTTGCCTACACCAATAGGGTTGAAGGTTCGATGATTAGTTATTCGTGTAGAAAATGTGAGAATCGATACCATCTTGTGCGAGACGGTATGCGGGAGCATCTGATTTTGAATGGTTTTTTAAAAAGGTACAAACATTGGATTAATCATGGGGAATCTTACGTATCTCTGCATGGTAATTGAGAGAATGAAACATTGGCTAATTTAGACATTGGGGACGATATGGTTGGAATGATACAAGGGGCTATGGGAAATCCACGTGCCGGTACAAGTGTTGAGGGTAATGAACCACAGGGGCCTGATCCCCATGCATCTGAACCCCAGCTCGGTCCAAATGTAAAGACTACAAAGTATTTCAAACTTCTTCAAGATGCACAAAGTGAATTGTATCCGGGTTGTCAGAAGTTCACATCTTTGTCATTCGTTGTTCGACTTCTACATTTGAAGGTGCTTAATTAGTGGACAGACAAGTCTGTTGACATGTTGCTTGAGTTATTGAATAAGGCGTTCCCGTTGGGTATGAAACTCCCGGACTCATATTATAAAGCTCAAAAGGTCACAACAGATTTGGGCTTCACGTATGAGATGTGGGATGCATGTCCCAACAGTTGCATGTTGTTTCGAAATGAGGACGCTAATCTTGATAAATGTGTCATATGTAACAGTTCAAGATGGAAATCAAATGGTCCTCACAACGGTGGCAAACGAATAGCTGCAAAACAAATGAGGTATTTTCCTTTAAAGCCAAGGTTGCAGAGGTTGTTAATGTCATCCAAGATGGCTAAGTTAATGAGATGGCATGCAGAGGAACGAACTAATGACGGTGTTTTTAGGCATCCTGCAGACTCTCTTGCATGGAAAGATTTTGATCGTCAGAATATTGACTTTAGTAATGATTGCCGAAGTGTAAGGCTTGGCTTAGCATCTAATGGTTTTAACCCATTCAGGACGATGAACATAGTTCATAGCACTTGGCTTGTTGTATTCATTCCATACAACTTGCCGCCATGGATGTGCATGAAACAACCATTTCTAATTTTATCTGTGCTTATTGACGGCCCGAAAGGACCTGGTGACAAGATTGATGTGTATATGCAACCGTTGATTGAGGAGTTGAAAGAACTATGGAATGACGGTGCCTCCACATTTGATGCATCAACAAATCAAATGTTTCAAATGTATGTAGCTTTACCGTGGACAATTAGTGATTTCCCTGCATATGCAAACTTGTCAGGATGGAGCACTAAAGGCGAATATGCATGTCCTTGTTGCAATAGGGAAACTACATCGTGTTGGTTGAAGCATAGTAGGAAACAATCATACTTGGGTCATTGCAGATTTTTACCTAGTGGCCATAAATTTTGAAAGGATAAAGTATCATTTGATGGTAGTCGGGAAGTCAGATTCAAACCAAAATTGTTGTCTGGAACTGAGATGCTACTACAATTAGAATCTGAGGGTGTTTTAACGCAGTACAAGAGGGATGACCTTAAGGAGAGGCATAAGAGACAAGTAGAGAAGGACAAAACTAGACATCGCACCCATAGCTGGAAAAAAAAGAGTATCTTCTATGAACTGCCATATTGGGAGCACAATCTAATTAGACACAACCTCGATGTGATGCATATAGAG